TGGTCGATTTCCAGCAGCCTCTGAGCAAAAGGTTTATTCATTCTATGAAGAATTCTTCTATGTAAAATCCGTCCCTGATGTCGTAGAGGAGTTCCTAGAACCGAGCCAACTCTCTTTATCAACTCCTCTGATTCTGCTCAGTGGGGCAGTGGGTTCCATTCCGGGTTCTATTCCTGGCTCGGGGTCTTTCAGCATGGAGTTTGCATCTTCTCCCTGAGCATGCGTGGGTTCTCTCTGGGTACTCCAGCTTGCTCCCACAGTCCAAAAACATGACATTAATTGGCTTCTCTATATTCTCCTTAGGTGTGATTGTGTGCATGAATGGTTGTTTTTCCTGTTTGTCTCTGAGTTGCCCTGTGATGGACTGGCGACCTGTCCAGAGTGTACCCCACCTCTCGCCCGTATGCCGCTGGAGGTAGGCACCAGCACCCCTCGTGACCCCTCTTGGGATAAGCATGACGGAAAATGGATGGATGAATTTCCCTCTGATTCTGTTACATCCGCAGATGATGACAGAAGAGGTCACGCTCTCATCAATACACAAACTTGTCTCACTATCTATGTGGAGCCTTTTTATTGATTCAGTTAATTTCTATAGCCCAAATATGACACTTATCCTAAAACTAACCATTACAGGTTTATAACAAACCCTAACCCCAACCTAAATTCAATTCACACCTTAGTCTTAAACATGACCCCTACCCCAAAACTACTGATTTGGGGTCAGAATCACAGCAGCTGCTAGTTATCTTATTCAGATTGCAAAAGTCTATCTGGGTCTATCATGGTGTGAGATGTCAGGGCAACACGTTGATAGTCATGAGAACTGTAGGCTTTCGTGAAACAAAACAGAAGGTCTCCCTCATCACTGGAGCCATCTCATGGGTCAGGGTAATGCTGGGCATACATTGTATGATGTTTTGCCCTTTTCCAGACGATTTTCAAGTGGTGCAAGAATTTTTCAATCGGGCCAAATTTCAGCCTGATCATGAGTCGTGCGTCGAGGATAACTTCAGGCGATCAACCTCTCACGACCACCTCCCGATCTGGAATCGTGAGGTCGGGAGAAAATCAAACATGTTTGATGATGTCGGCTCAGTGCGCAAACAAGGATTCTTCTTCTTCTTCCTCTAAGACAAAAACACAGAAGCATGGCGGAGGTGTGATGGAGTTCTTACTGTAAAATTGACAGACTGTAGTAACCACGTTTGCTCAGCCACGTCTTTGTCCTTTCAGGGCTTTCAGCACAAAATTGCACAAATTGCCAAGGCAGCGTTTCACTCTAGTGAGCTTCATATTCCTCTTCTACTGGTTTGGCTTCCGGATAGACGAGTTAGAGCAGCGCCATCTCATTGCGGAGCCGAGTCTGATGTAGTTTTTAGACGTACAGTTAGAGCGTCAGGCCGCACTGTGTGAGAACATCCATAGTGAGCTGTGAACTCACACTGTACGAGGAAAACCACAGGGTTTCCTCGTACAGTGTGAGCTATAGCTGCGTGCAATGATTGAAAAAATCGTACAGTGTATGCCCGGCTTAAGGTTGAAGAGGTGCTGCTCTGACCGAGTCTTAACGGCTCTGGGGCTGACACCATCAGTTCACTGACACCATCAGGATACAGAGAGGTTTATTCCAATTGAGACTCTTAAGATGTCTTTTCAAGCAACTTCTATAGTCAGACATGTGGGAGGAGGGGAGTGCAACTGATTTGAATGTAAAGAGACACACAAGCTAAAGGCTCCACAGCAAAGGTGGAAAATACAGCATTTGAGGTGTGAGGGGGAAGCTTTGGTTCAAAATGGATGTAGTTAAAACAGAAGGATGCTCAGCTTGGTTCAGAACCGAATCTAATTAAAAATGTTTTCACTTAACTTTGTCCACACATCCTTCTGCCTGATCATAACTCTGCTTACAGCTTGTGATCTTCTGGTCTTCACCATCCTTTTAAAACAGTGACTCATATATATATATATATATTTTTTTTTTGAGAACAAAGAAAATAACCTACCAGGAGAACAGAAGCATTGGGGGAGGGATCCCATTCCTTCATGGATCTAAATCCTTTGTTTGGTTTATGTGCACATTGCATGCTACTACAAACAAAATGTTGCGTGCATTTTTAATCCATTGAAAATATAAAGTATATTTTATATTGTCGTTTACGTTTCAGCTGCTGCTATATTTAGGAATATATTTACGAAATGGCTTAATTGCATAAGATCAGCTCTGGGATATGATCTATTTGATGTTTTGTGTTTGTTTTGTCATACTTTTGCAAGTGAATAGATGTGCACTGCTGCTGCAGCTGCAGGCGTTTGCGTGAGTGTGGCGCGTTGCATCCTGCAGCAGGCGCGCGCTCCTTTCCTGTTACGCAGCGCTCCCTTCACCGCCTCTCGGTCACCAGAAGCCGGTCTGGCAGTCTGAGCAGGCCATCCCTGTAGCCACATCGGTACCATCTCCCTGCTGCATCCCCCTCTCTCTCCTCACCTTCATCTCACCATCCTTCCTCCTCCTCCTCCTCCTTCCTGTTGTTGCGCCTCCGCTGCAGCTCACAAGTTCCAGAGAGAGCCGATCCTCTCCGGCACAACAAGTCTGCCTTCAGGTACCCCTCGCGGGATGTTTTTAATGTGATGAGATAAATGGGCCGCGCAGGATGTGAAGCCCCGAAAGAAGAAGCAGGAGGATGGCGACGCGGGGCTTGTCTGCGGCGGTGCTGCTGCTGCTCCTGCTGGGCTTCTTCCTCTCGGCGTCCACCGTTAAAGCCGGTGAGTTGGACCACAGGTTGATGAGCGATCATCGCAGGTAAACAACAACAACAAAAGGAAAGGGTGCACAGGCTGAGGAAACACATGCAGAGGGCAGATATGTGGAGCAGTGTTGACTTGTTTGTAGCTGCATCCCTTTTGGGGGGAATGATATGACACATGGATGTGATCTGCATGTGTGAGCTCTCATCTGTCATCACAAAAAGCTTTGTGAAACCAAACAGGATGGCTGAAAAAAGGTAATCATGCTACATTAGGATGACTTTCACACATCCAATAGGCTAAAGTCATCATTTAGTGTTATAGTAGCAAAATGCTCACCGTCTTGCTGTTTAATTTGTAAAAATGGTTGCAGTATGTCCCACTTACTATAACTAGGGTTCAAATTGCCAGTTAAATAAATAAAGAGTTATTTTTGTTAAAACGTCTGTCAAAAAATCTAACCTCATCCTTATTGGATATTTTCTGACAACCCCAACTTCAACATCCATCACTTTCCCCTGTAAGATTATTTTAAGACCTTGCACATCATGAACGCTGCAACGTGTTTTATTCAAGAGGGAAATTCGTTTTCTGTCAAAAGATCTTGCCTCTGTGTCCTGATGATAAGCTTGCAGATGACAGATAAGTCCTAATTTCTGAAAATGAGATCAGTGAAGCTTTATCTCGGTCTGGAGAGATCTTTTACATTTGGTGTGAAGATGTGTGTGATTATGCTGCTCTATAAAGGAGCTTTGTACTTCTGGAGCCTTATTTCAACTCATTTTGAAGCAGATTACATATTGAATTGTTGGTAACCAACACTCCTGAACTACCTCTACCCTCATTACTGTTGTGTACTTTGGCTGAACCACCGATCAGAAGTGGAAGCTAGCGGGGAAAGAAAAAACAGTTTTTCTACCATGTCATCTTGCAAAAGTCTGTTATGCTTTTTTAACATTTTTTTAATCTTAGAGCCTCTCAATTAAATGCATTTCATTGGGATTTTATGTACAATCTAATGGACCGGTTATCAGTCTATCACAGCATATGACACAACTTGAGATTTAGCAAGATATAATCATTTATATTATATCAGGAAAAAAGAAATTGTTGTTTATTTCTCTATGAAAAGTATAAAGAAAAGAGTCTGTGTTAGAAGGAAAGCATAATTTGGCCTGTTTGAAGCTTTCAATTCAATTCAGTTTATTTCACAACACGTCATCTCAAGGCACTTTCCAGTTCACCAGATCATACAGTCAGATTGATTAAAAGTTTTCTATCTGAGGAAAACCAGTTGATTGCAACGACTCATCGACTCGAAGGCAATCCCTCACACTAAGCATGCTTGTAGCGACAGTGGAGAGGAATAACTCCCTTTTAACAGGAAGAAACCTCCGATAGAACCAGGCTCATGTGAGCGGCCATCTGCTGAGGCCGAATGGGGTTCAAGGAGACAGAAGCAGAGATACAAAAAGGAGCTATAAAAGGCAGCCCATTCAAGGAAACACACAGCCAGGCAGACGAGCTCCGAGCCAGCTCCCATGTCAGAGGATGAAGAGAGCACATCCAACCAGTCATAGTCAGAGAAACAGGACTACACTGAAAAACAGGCCGATCTCCAACATCTATAAACAAAGGTGTTGACGGCAGCAGCACAGCTGATGTTTCTCTCCAGGATGGAGTCACAGCCAAACAGGAACAGACAAGGTGAAACTACTATGAAAAAAAGCAGAGAGAGCATAACGTTAGAGATTGAGCTAACAGATTCTGCAGAGTGGGAGAATAGAGATAGAAAGGGGTAGAATGATGAAAAAGGGGTCCCTATGTCCTCCAGCAGTCTAAGGCCAAAATGAACACGAAACGCTAATATTTTCCAGAACGTTTGTCGTAAAGACGGAGACGTAAAATAAATGTGATCGTCCACACAAATGCATGAAAACGCTGCAAAATGTAGGCCAGGCCTATAAGTGGCGCTGTGGTGCCAAAGCAAAAATAGGCGACGAAATGTTGGGCATGTGCACTAATATTTATACATGGTTGCCCTGCGGGTCCATTTTCGTGGTTCAGTCAAATTCAGGTGCTGAACTATGTCGTCGATATTGCTCTGTTCTTCCTGGAGATATTCCAGAAGAAGAAGATTCTGTTGTAAGCCCGACAGCAGGGTGAGTAGCATGAGCAGCAACCATTCAACACAGTACGGCGCCATTGTTGTTGTGATACTGTGTCGCGCATGCGTGTTTAGAGGCGACGCTATGACGCATGCGTGTAAAAAAAAAAATGCGGTTAGAGCTTAAAGATGGAAACGCGAAAACGGCGTTTCAAAATCTTCCCACTCTGAAGGCTGAATAAAAAAAAAATTGTTTACAGACCCCCGAAACGCCGGCTTCGTGTGGATGAGAGGCTGGTTTGGTGAAAAATTTGTGCGTTTAGGCCAGGGTTTGGCTTCGTGTGGACAGGGCCTAAGCCTATAGCAGCATAACTATAGCGATAGCTCAAGATAACCTGAGCCACTCTAACTTTAAGCTTTATCAAAAAGGAACGTTTTAAGCCTAGCCTTAAAAGTTAACAGGGTGTCTGCCTCACGGACTTTCCACAAGAGACATAGATCACAGCATTATCTGCAAATGTTTTGACCCGATAGGCTAAATGCTTGGATCACCATTAGTTTTAACAAAGGTTGGGCAGTTTTTGTAAAGACGAACAGACAAATAGTTTATTGTTCAGAGTTGTTCACCCACTCATTGTAAGAATTTTATATGGACGACATTTAGCTAACTAAATATCCCCTGTCTTCACAATTCTTTACTACTTTGTGTTGGCGTATCGCATAAAATCCCATTATAGTTTGTGGTCATAATGTGAGAGAATGAATATTATTTGCAAGTCACTCCATGTGTTTTTCTGTCATTCTTACCCCTGTACCAGCCGGGTGTCTGGATGCAATGATCTTTGTTTTTCTCCTGAACTCCTGAGTTCTTTCCAAACCTTCTATATCAATGCAACAATGGTGATTATTTTGCCAACAAGGGGAAATTGTGGAGTACTTCTTGTGTGGTGGGAGTTTTCTGCCTTTAAAAACATATTTAAAAGTACTGTGGAATTTTTATCTCTCGGCTTTATGTGCTTCACTAAGTAAATAATTATAGCAGTCAAGACTAAATGAAAGTTCACTTACCTTCAAAATATGAAAAGTTCTGAATATAAATAGAATATGTCAGTAAAGATGATGAGCAGTGATTAGAATGGTTGTTTTTTGCCATGGTGATCAATATCAGTTTTAATAGACAAGTGAGAATGAATGTGCCTCATTGGCAAAACTGCAATTAAAACCAGTTGACTCAGGCCAATAATTGCCATTTAAGCGATACTCTTACTTAAAGGTGCTGTAGGAGATCTTGGAAAAACGGTTCCATCAACTATATTTTTGAACTCACGACCATGCCTCTCCCTTTAGACCATCCCTCGAAAACCACGCCTTCAAGATACATGATTGTGCATGCTTTCTTCAGCACGTCTAGAGCAGCAGGAGCAGCGTGTCTGAGCCGCTGCTGATCTCGGAGCTGGAAGGGAGACAGGCAGCACTGATGATGCAGAGCGCTGTGATCACTCTTCTGAAACAATTTATTAACACCTTAATTAACTTAAAATGCCGAAATCTGCCGACAAAACATGTTCGCTTTTATTATCTTGGTACCTGCAGTTTGGATTACGTACATGAAAAACGCCTTCCAGCCGCCGCGGCAAACCCCAAGGAGGTGACCGGGCCATAGGCTGCTGTTGAATGGGATTCCCAGCGACAGCACGGTGTACGGGGGTCTGAGCGACTCCCATAGAAATAACATTTGAAGGCAGGATGGTAATCTGGATAAACTGACTGCACTGACGATGTTTTCAGATGGACTTTCGTTCTTCAAAATAGATTCAAACTACTTTTTATCCACTGATCACAGCAAATATAGCTGCCATTGTTACAGGCAAAGAAAGGATAGGGTAGCTCCGCCCAACGCACATCAGACCTACTTTTCCACAGCGCAGCCAGAGCAGCAAAGCTAGGGTGACCAGACGTCCTCTTTTTCCCGGACATGTCCTACTTTTAAGACCTAAAAAAAGTCCGAGTGGAGTTTCAAAGTTGTCCAGAATTTTGGTCGACTACAGTGCAGCACTTGTCGAAACAGGGTGCCAGCGGGGGACGGAGTGACCAAACCTTATGATAGGACCAGTGACATATGTGATGATAGCTTTCCATGCTTTCCCCTGCCTGCATTACCCATCCCTACCCCCCCTCCTCCGGCTGAGGACGGGCCGCTCATGGCTCTCTGCTGAGGTCCGGTCCAGTCAGCGGTGTCTTCCTTTTCAGAAACCCGAATCTGGCCACCCTAGTAAAGATGCTTCAGTCGTGCATCAGAACTAAACTTGCACAAGCATCAAATACGAAGCAGCCGGCTCGTTTTTTCTGCTCCTTCTGCTTTAGGTGTGAACGTAGCATAACTGTGGCTAGCTTGCAGCCATGGCATCCTGCACTAGGCTTGGGGGGTTGGTTCGTTCATGTGTCAAGGTACGCGCACAGGTGGGAGGGGCAAGAAGACGACCGCGATTGACATGTCAGCAATCAATCTTGTACAACATACAGTGTTTTGTGATTGGTTGGGGTTATTAATTGATTTCTCACTGTAGCGGGGAGCATTTATTTTAGTTTTACTTCCAGACCTCTTATTTCACTGCTTGCTAAGCGGCTGTGGGGAGATCTTTAAGCCACATGGTAAAAAATGTGTCAGAAAAGATCTCCTACTGCACCTTTAAGTCATTTGATTTAAAAAAAATGTAAATTATTTATAAGTATACTTACTCACATAACCAACAATTAAAATATCATTAACTGTTAGGTTGTTTTTTTTTCTCTCTCATTTCCTCAAGTCTGATAAAGCAAAGATTTCAAGGGTAGAACTAAAGAGTCATGCTTGTTTTCTTCATATAGTTTTATAATATATAGAGGGAGATTGAAACTATTATGAGTGAATTTTTAGAGGATGGCTGAACTGTACTCCAACTCAAACCAAGGTCTAACCTGATGCTACTCTTTTCAACGCTGGACTCAAGGGAAATCTAGCGCTAAGTCAGATCATAAAGGACCTTGAGTTTATTGTAATTGACACACATTAGCTGTCTATAAAACACACACACATCCCGCTTGACTTCTTTTTCCATTTAGGAAATGAAACAATTAAAGCCTCAACCCGATCCATCATTAATCTGCAGATTAACAGTGCATCACATTCTTTTTTTTTTTTTACTACAAATGTTAAAATGATATGACAGCAGCAGGGATATCACCCCCAGAGTGAGTTTCTTTGCCAGTGAGAGGAGAGAAGGTAAAGACTGAAAAATTTATGAGAATCAGAAACAAAGTCTTTGGGAAGAAGCATCTTCCCGTGGGAAACCCAGAAAGACTCAAGTGTTTTAATCAGGCGGGGTATTAATGAAAGGAGAAAGATTAATCTGAGGGTGGTGAGGGGAAGAAGTTAGTAAAAGTGGGCTGAGAAAAAAAAAAAAAAAACAGAGTATGAAGAGAAAGATAATGAGTAGGATGTTCTCTCTCCATGGTAGGATTTATTACATCTACTGCCACTGTGGGACTCTAGCTTTTATGTTCTGTCTTTATTAACCATACGTCCTTCTGTGCCTGTGTTAGACGCTCTGCTGTCAGCTCCACTCAATGTGACCATCAGAGAGCTGGAGGTCAACTCGGCTGTGGTGACGTGGGAGATTTTGGAGGGAGATCCCGTCATTGGATTTGCAATTACCCAACAGGTACCTATGAGTGTCTTTTTCTCTTTACTTTAGGTGTGGGTTAAGAATAAATATTAAAAGAGGTTAAATCTGATTAAATCCCTCCTGTGTCAGAAGGGTCAGAACATAGAACCCAGAATTCAGGCGAAACAGACAGTGGTATATTAAAAAAAAAGTTTAATAATAAAGTGTGCGGCTGCTCGTCTGCAGCAGCAGCAAATGATGCATAATAATGAGCATTAAAGCCAACAACCTGGCAAAGTTCAGTCTGTGCCCTAAGAAGGAGGGTTGTCTAGAGCCGTGGAAATCCTTTGCTCTTTGCTGAGACGGCTCAGGGATCCAGGAGAGAAGAGAAGCAGCTTCCGTCAGCAGCCAGAGCACGCATGGGAACCGATAGGTCCAGGATGATAATCCAAACCGTGGTCAGAAG